TATATAAAATGCAGTAAAGCAGAATATAAACTTACTTGGCTGAAGCTGAGAAAATCACACAATTTTCGAGAAGGGGTCTAACAGAAACTCAGTTTACATCTAGGCCATGATTAAATCAGGGTTAAACCAGCCCAATGTTAATCATCCTTATCTTAAGCCAAAGTTTAACATTTGATGAACAATTTTGTAATAAAAAGTTGCTTAGCTTCTTTCTTTCCAATCCCAGAGCCAGCTACACCCTTAAATTACTTACTTGAATTCCTTAAAAAACTGAACAAAATATTTATACATAGTTTATTATAGCTTAAAGAAACATAGTGATAAAATTGTGATTACTTATGAAATGTGTAAGATTGTCAAAACAGTCTTGCGGTATTTTCGCGAGTTGGCGCTGAAAGCGCGTAGTTCTTGTTTTATTCATCGGATCAGGTCATAAATGATACCTTTTTGGAAAGCTCATTTCACGCGCTAACACGAGTTTGATTGATTGTCTTTTCTTTTAAGTCGTTCGTGAGTTATTGCGTCGCAATCATGGAGCAAAATAAAGAGAAAATACGGCATATTTTACAGTACTACTACGATAAAGACAAAAATGCATCTCAAGCCGCCAATAAAGTTTGTGCAGTTTATGAACCCGATGCAGTTTCCATTTCCACCGCACAACGATGGTATCAACGTTTTCGTTCTGGTCTAGAGGTGGTCGAAGATGCGCCACGCTCCTAGTTTTTTGCCAATAGGGAAGCGAGCTTCTATGAGAGGGGCATCATGAAGTTGGCATCTCGTTGGGAACGCGTCATCGAACAAAACGGCGCAGATTTGACTTGAATCGCATTATTGTAACCAATTTGATACCGCAAGACTTTTTTGAGAACTTAATATTATTATATATGTATATATTAGATTTCGATTTATATAGATATAGATTTTAGCCGCAAGCAAAAGGCCTTAGCTGATATTGCTCCTGGCCCTATGTTACCTCTTAGTTTGAGGTCATTGTTAGCCTTTGACAAAAGTATAAATAAATAAATAATAAATACACAACGAAAGATGAAAACTTACAAAAAGTACTTTAAGCAGGCCTAAAGTCTAAGTGGCTATGACTGCCCCTTTCTGTGGCTTTAGTCCAGACTTTAAGGAGACAATTTCATATAAAAATAGTAAAAATAATAACTAATAATAATATTTAGTGATTATTTAAAGTAAGTCTGTTTTTTTCAGATATTTAAATAACTTTCCCTTTGCCTAAAAACATTCTCCTGCGCGTTAAGTTCCCAGCCTTCTGATCACTTTTCTCGCGGGAACCAAAATGAAAACCATTTTGGCCAAAGAATGCAACCCGCAGATTGCCAGCCCCTTCCCCCTTTTCTGGCCTGTTTTCTCCGCCATTTTGAACGCCCCGCCCCTGTGCTTGTGTATGCCATAATCTCACCCCGAAAAAAAAAAGAAACATTAAATTGAAAACAAGAAAAGTGAGCGCTACGCTTCGGTTGCATTTTCAAGTACTCCCCTCTCTCTGCCCTCCCAACAAATACAAAACCCCCCCACCCCTGCTCATCGTAACAAGCATAAACCACCATTCTCTATGTGTGCGTGTGTGTGTGTGTGTGCGCGTTTTTGGTTGGTGACCCAAAATGCCGCAGATGATGATCATCATCATAGCAATATCACGAGCCCAACATGCAACATGCCATACGCTGGCTCTCCCGGTGGTGAGTGGTGAGTGGTGAGTGGTGAGTCGAGTGCCGCGTGTCACTCACTCCCGAGTCTTCGATTCCCCGGCGATAGTTTCCCGACGATAATAATAGCCAGGAAAACTGAACAGCAGAAGAAGAAAAAATACGAAAATCCAACAGAGAAGTATCCATAAATAATGAGCAGGGAATTGAAAGTTTCGAGGGGAAGCACCGACCTACTAAATACCCTTCAGTCATGCAACGAGATATTTAAAAACTTGTTTAAATATTATATTTTATGTAAATAAAGTTTAAATTAAATAAGTTAATATGGAAATTATTAAAAAAAATATTTAAAAAAATAAAATATTTAGAAAACCATTTAAGCTTTCATTTTAATTGCCAACAAAATAATATTTAAAATTAATCAAAAATAAGATAAAACAATCATAAATATTAAATATTTTTCAAGTTATTTTTTATTTTATATTTTATATTTTATATTTTATATTTTATATTTTATTTTTACTTTCCACTTGAAAATTTCCCTTAAAAATTAGACATTTACCTTAACTTTAAATTTAATTACCATAAAAAAAGAGTATTAACCAAACGACCTCTTTCCTTTCCCTTTCTTTCACCCCCTCCATCACCAGTGTCACCGCCCCCGCCCACTGAGAGAGCCCGCCTTGGGCTGAAGTGCCTGGGCGTGCGTGGCCTTCGCTTTTCCCCCTTCTATTTTCCCATTTCCCCCTCCTCACTTCTTCTTCTGCTTTGGCTTTTTGTCTCACTTCAGCTGCCCAGCCTCCCTCCCTCCCGCCTCACCCACTCCCCAACCCGCTCAGAAAAAGTGAAACCCCGCTGGAAAATTGAATAAAACCGAGAGGTAAAAAGGGCGCGTTTACAAATATTTGTCGTTGCATCCTTTGCAATTACACACACACACGCACACACACTCCATCACACACACACACAGGCATGATTATAAAACGAGGAAAAAAGGACATTAATTTTATTTTATAGAATCTTTTTTGGTGCTGTCGCCGTGTCGAGGACAACATAATTCTTAGTAGCATTTGTGACAAAAGGATAACATTGCATTTGTTTGCCCGGCCAGAAGCTGTCACAGCCAGGGGATCGCATTTTCGGCATACATTTTCCGTTTCATTCAGAGTTTTTCATTGATCCTGCTGGCGAAGGACAAAGGATGCGTTCGCCTGGAAGGGAGGGAAAACGAGAAATTCGTGTGTCCCTTCTATACAATTTTTGTTGTTGCTTTTTTTTTTTTTTTTTTTGTTTTTCGAGTTTTGCTTCCAGCAGACAGTTTTCCAACACGATCAGCCCCCTTTTGTGGGCCCGCTTTTCCCCGACAGACAATGCGGAGACTTTGACAGCGATGTCTTCGTCTCAATGTCCCTTTTTCCAAGCCGATGTCCTTTTGTCGCCACACGGCAAAGTCAATAGATTTTCCACGGTTACAGCTTCTTTATTTGTTTATTTATTTACGACGTCATTGCCTCGAGGCTGACGTTTCAATCTACAGCGCCTTCCAGGGTTGAATATCGGATCGGATTGGATCGGATCGGATCACTCGAATGGGTAGTTACGAAACCTGCCAATATTTTCATTTGGCCAAATTCCTAATTAAGCGGGAGGAATCGACCGATGAAAGGACGGCGTCTAAACATCAATTAGCTCCACTCACTCTACCACTCTGATGAGATTTCGAAGAGTTAATACCTCGCAGTCTTTCAAGCGGCTTAGATCCTTCACCCATTTAGTTTTCTTGGACAGAAATTCGATCGTCTCCGGACTTCCTTTACCCATTCTCAAAGTGCGATCAGCGCTTCTAGTCTTTAACTCTTTCCCATAAAACTTTGACAGATCGCTACCGGGGACTAATCTTGTCGTTCGAGGAAGTTAGCAATCATCTGGAGAACTTGTGCGAGTCCTTGGAGCTATGCTTACGATGTCCGGGTTGGTCATTCTAACTGAAGTCCAATCCATTGTCGTAGAAAGACAACCGAGTTCAGCTCTGTCTCGCCCGTCATGGTTATCATGGAGTTTGGTTGCTCCTCAGCTGTGCAGACATCGGCTACTGGGATCTTGAGAGAATCTCGCTGCAACCTCACGATTAGAGGAGGAGGACGCTGCCTTGCATTTGTCTTTCTGTAAATGGAAATTCATTTCAAACTTCCGCAATTCTGCATATATTCATCGATGACGGACAGGGATAAGCCTGTTCTGTTATCAAGCTATGACTAAAGTCCACATTTTTCATAAATTTATACAACCGACCGAATCTCTTTAGTGACGAAGGCAGTTCTTTTACCACTCCGATCTGTTCCTCAACCACGAATGCCGATATTGATCTCACGTACCCCATTTGGATAATTAATTTGGGGTTCAAAAACAAAGGAATAAAAAACTCTTTCTTGAAATCAAAAATTTAAATAAGACTTCTAACTTTAAAAGATCTCAGTAAGGCGACTAGAAGTATAATGAGAGATATCTGAGAATTGCTATACCTTTCAGTTTGGCTTGAGTTTGATTTCTAAGGTGACATTATATTCAAATTTCTACCGAATCAATTTGTAAATCAAATCTTGTAATCTAATGGAAGATTAGTCACCGTGTGGGAGGATGACGGTCGATTGGGATTTGGCCACTTGAAATGATTGTTATACTAAGTTTCGTTACGACCCAGTTGACCTGATCCGATTCGATATCCACTCCTGGAAGATTAAAACGTCAGGCTGGGGGCAATGACAAAGTAAACAAACAAATACAAAAATGTTTTAGTAATTGTCTAGTAGGCGCCCCTTTTCGGTAGAATGAAGTTTATTAATATAGGAATTTGAAGGGAATACCCTTCACCTGACCAATGACAGATCGACTGGGTTATTGGGCGTGATCAGGAATACACGTACCTACTTTAAAAGGATGGAAATTTCTTTTCCATTTGGTATTAATTTTATCCAAAATTCTACAAATAAGACTTAAACTTAAACTTAAACTTAAAGAAAGAACTTCGAGGGACTTTCCCCCTGATTTTCCACAAAAAGAAGCACTTTGTCCAACAAATTGGCGTTCCGTGGAAAAAGGAAACTCCATTTACAACAATTGCCAGAAATTTGCACTTTCTGCGGATGGAAAACTTTCTCGTTTCTCCCCACCCAACAGCCCTTTTCATCATTTTCCTCGCTGGTTTCCCCTTCTCCTGGAAAAGGGTACAACACTTCCGGTTGTTTGTAGGTCGTAGTTTATTTCTCAGTTTCTGAGATCTCGACTCGTCTATTGATCCTCACCAGTAATATACACCATAACCATATGTTATATCTTTAATCATTAAAAAATATAACTTAGTTAAAATATTCTACGAGAATTTATATCTGGTGGACGACTACTTAATCAATTTTAAATCGCATCAAATTTCACAAGAGAGCCATCCAAGTACTCATTCCTTATTAGCCAGACCCAGTAGTTCCATCAGCTCGTTCTTCGTTGCACTTGCAGAACTTACTTTCAGTTTGGATATCCTTGGGGGACCTCTCCTTCTTTCCAGGTTTCTCAAACACCTTGCCTATAACCGAGATCTTCTTGGCTTTAACCATATTTAAGAGCTGGTTAGACTCCTCTTCTCCGCGAACCTCGACCAGGAGGCCTTTCAACGTAGCTGGCTCTTCAGTTCTGGGAGTAACCGAGGTCTTCTTGGCTTTAACCTTATTTAAGAGATTGGACTCCCTTTCTCGGCGAACCTCGTCAGGGCGGGCTTTCGAAGACGCTGGCACTTTAGTTTTGGAAGTTCTTGGCTTCTGGGAATCGGAGCCTGCAGCCTCTCGAGCACGGGACTTCAAATTCTTCTTCCTTTCTTTTGCCATCTTCACAGACTGCTGAGTCGGCTTGGCTTTAAACACCTTGGCAAGCAGTTGGGAAAACCTTCCTTGACGCTTTTTAACAGGGAGTATTTTTCTCGGAACTTTTTTTTGAGTCCCCGGAGTTGCTTCCGCAAAGACTATATCCTTCACACCACTCTTGGCCGCCTTTTCTGTGGTCTTAAAGGAACTCTTCTCCGGGCTCACCTCAATCATCTTTCCACGAGAAATCATCGTCTTCCCCAAGCGCCTTTTGAGTGTAATGCTCCGCTTACTCCTCTGTGATTGTACTTTAGCTATGCTCCTCTTTCGGGCACGTTTTGGCTCAGCTGCCTCTTCCTCTTTAGGGAACTCTGGGAGCAGGAACTTCCCATGCACCTTTTCTATTTTGTTTCGGAAAAGTCCCTTCATGACCGCAAGGTGTACAGACCTCGAAATGAGATCTCTAACTCTATCTTCCATGTTGTTCTGTGACAACTCGCATTAATGAAGTTGAGAAGGAACTACTTCCGAGTTAATTCTTACCTCGAAGTAGGTGATCAACTCCTTTATGTCTACTGATCCTCCGAAGACTGAGATCACCCGGCAGACCTCGGCCACTGGGATCTTGAGGTAGTCGTCACTACCCATGTATTCAATTACCTGGGCAACTCCGCTCTTATTTTCTTTCTTAGTCTCTGGGGCTCGCATTTTTTGCAGTTGGCCTCTTCTGGGAGAGAGGGTTGACTTAGAACTTTCGTATTTCTACTACATCGGTTGATAGGTGCTGATAGTCAGGGGTAGTTAGCAACCTATGACTAACGTCTCCATTTAATCACTGACTATAAACATACACAACCGACCGCAGCATTTAAGGAGAATCTTCCCCGAGGAAGACCTTCTGTTTCACAACCACTCACTTACCCCATTATGAAATACAATTTTTACAAATACTACTTCGAAATAAAAGTTTTAGTATACAATTTGTGGATTATAAAAGTTTTCGATTGTAGATAAAAATTTAAAAAAAAATATTTTTCCAAATCGAGTTTTTCTTTAAAATTGAGGTGTTACTTCTATAAAAGCCAGAAAAGTTCTGAGATATCATAAGTATGGTTGTCTATGACGTTGAGTTTCGTTTGAGTTTGATTTCTAAGGAGACTATGTTTCATATTAAAGTTATGTACGAACGAAAAAATTTGTAAATCAAAGAAGTAGGCTTAGCTGAATACGAAGGCAGAAATAAGACCTTCCTCACACTCCAAAGCTGAGTTGCTTTTGTTTTAAATATTGTTGTCAATATCTTTGCTCTACTAAATCAGACAATCTATTTACTCAAACTCATCTTACGGCAGAGCTTTTACTAACACAAAATAAAAAAGCGTGCACATACAGTGGATCCAAGCTTATTTCGTGCAAGAAAAAATCGAATTTTTAATTTGATACTGCTACTAAACCAGCAGAGATATCAAAAAAATTTAAATGCAGTAATGTTAAGAATGTCACATATTATTAAAATAATAAAAAAAAATTTTACTAATTTAAAAAACAAAAGAATTTTTCATACAAAAACTAAAAAATAGGGCAACTCCGACGCACAAGCTTATTTCGTGCAAGCACTTTAACGGTTAATAACTCTAAACTAGGACTTTTAAATCCATTTTTTTTCCTAATACTAGTAAAAATATATTAACAAAAGCATATTTATAAGTTTTCGAGGCTGGGGGCACCCAAAAATTACGGATTAACGAGGATTTTCAAACTATTGCGCCACGAATAATAGTCAATAGTTATTGAGCAAAGCGAATTAGTCCTTAAACATTTTAAGGATGGGAAACCCCAGGAAATGGTTGCCTCAAGCCCTAGTACAAGCCGATACATAACCCAAACGCTTTTTTGCGAAAATCGGGTAGCAGATAAGGGCGGTAATGCAAAAGTGAATTAAAAACAAGCGCCATAATCAAGTACTACGTCTATCAGTTATCTTCTATTGCGAACAGACGGCAGATGAGTTCGAGAACTTGTTCGCAATTTGTGAATGCAAAGAATGTGCTCTGCTTATATTCGTGTCCAGCTTAGCATTAGTTACAAGTTTTGACTTACAAATTTGTTTGGTAGACATTTAAATATAAAGTCACCTTAGAAAACAAACTCAAGTCAAACTGAAAGGTATAGTCATCCCTTTCTACAACAAGTAAATTTGGAACGAATACAGGAATATTTTGTTTAAACTTTTCATTTCAATAAGAAGCTAAAATTATATTTAAAAATGGAGTAAGTGAGAACAATATAGGCATTCGTGGTTAAGAAACAGATCGGAGTTACAAGTGATTAAATGTGGACTTTTGTCACAGGTCGCAAGGTGTTCGCTTTTCCAATGATGTCCCGGAGACAAGTGTTGACGATTCTTCGGACACTTACCTTACTCTCCATTTCCCTGTGGCCGATGTTTGCAAGGTCATGTCTGAAATCGGAGGACCAGTCCTGTTGAGCAAGTTGGTGGCCCACTTCGAGGTAAGGATTCACTCCGAAGTGGCTCTTTTTTCTAAAATTCATAAATGTATGTTAACGCAGGGTAAGATGGCAGTTGGAGTTAGGCACAAGGCGTCGAAGTTTGTATGCCAGTCGCTCGTAGAGGGCCTTAATCAAAAGAAAATAGGAAAGCGAAATGGAAAGTTCGTGCTTCCAGAGTTATTCAAAGAGGAAGAGAGCGCGGAGGACATACTGTACATAGCTGAAGAACAACCAGCACCAACTTCAGGACAAGGGAAGAGCGAGCTCTCAAAGATGTTTTCGAAAATGTATGAGGTTGATCGCACTTACAAAAAGGGTCAAGAACGGATTAAGATGTACGAGTTCCTTAAGAAGGAAATTAAGTTTGTCGAAGAACTGATGGCCGCATCTCCAGAAGATCATAGGAAATTTTCCATGGCACTGGATTGGATGATTCGCATGGAAGCAAGTGAGAAAGAAGAAGCTTTAGAGCTCGCTAGAAAGTTTATGACTCTAATGGAAGATTAGTCGCCGTAAAGGAAGATGACGGCCGACTTGTTAATCAGTTTGGGATTTGGCCACTTGAAAAGTTCCGTTACAACCTAGTTGAGTGATCTGACCCGATTCGATATCCACTCCTAGAAGATTGAAACGTCAGGCTGGGGGCAATGACGAAGTAAACAAACGCTGGAATGAAGTTTATTAATATAAGAATTTGAAGGGAATATCTCACCTAATCAGTGGACAGATCAACTCGGTTGTTGGGCGTAATGAGGAATACACGAACCTTCCTTATGGGATGGGAATACTTCCTATTCCTTCTCAACTTTATATTCATTTTATTCAAAATTCTTCATATTGTATTATATTAATTAATAAATTGTGCCACATTCCCAATCGTAATTTATGTCTCGCAGCGTGCATACGGGCAGACGGACATGACAATCGACTCGGCTACTGATCCTGACCAGTAATATTTACATCATAACCATTTGTTATTCTTAATCATTAAAAAATGTAACTAATTTATATTTGCTGGACGACTACTAAATCTATTTCAAATCACATAAAATTTCACATAAGAGCCGCAGACTCTCGAGCCTGGGACTTGATAATCTTCTTCCTGTCTTTTGCCATCTTCAACGACTGCAGAGTCGGCTTGGCTTTTATACACCTTCCTTCACTTTTCGGACAATACGTCTCTCCTCGTGGTCATTAAAAATTGTGTTTGGAGCTTCACGGCCCTTATCTGCTACCCGATTTTCGCAAAAAAGCGTTTGGGTTATGTATCGGCTTGTACTAGGGCTTGAGGCAACCATTTCCTGGGGTTTCCCATCCTTAAAATGTTTAAGGACTAATTCGCTTTGCTCAATAACTATTGACTATTATTCGTGGCGCAATAGTTTGAAAATCCTCGTTAATCCGTAATTTTTGGGTGCCCCCAGCCTCGAAAACTTATAAATATGCTTTTGTTAATATATTTTTACTAGTATTAAGAAAAAAAAATGGATTTAAAAGTCCTAGTTTAGAGTTGTTAACCGTTAAAGTGCTTGCACGAAATAAGCTTGTGCGTCGGAGTTGCCCTATTTTTTAGTTTTTGTATGAAAAATTCTTTTATTTTTTAAATTAATAAAAACTTTCGTTATTATTTTAATAATATGCGACATTCTTAACATTCTTACATTAGCAGTATCAAATTAAAAATTCGATTTTTTCTTGCACGAAATAAGCTTGGATCCACTGTATTTAGTGACGCTTTTGTGTTGGTTTGCAGCTGTGCACTGAGAGAAAGGAAAGAGAGAAAGAATTCATCACTCATTTCAACACTCGCGTCGAAGGTCCCCACTGCGAAGTAAACTCGAAAGTACAAACAGAAGTTACAAGGAATGATTTCCAGTGCAAGTGTCCAAGGATGATCGAGGAAGAAACAAGAACAGTTAGCGACGGAATGAGGCGGAAAGAGGAAAACTAAAAATTGTTGTTGGAATAGCAATGAGTTCGAGGATGATCCAGGAAGGAACAAAAACAAATTGCATTGAAGTTGGCGACGGAATGAGGTAGAAGGAGGAAAACTAAAAATTGTTGGTGGAATAGCAAGGAGTTTGAAGATGATCGAGGACAAAACAAGAACAAGTTACATTGTAGTTGGCGACAGAATGAGGCGGAAAAAGGAAACGAAAAATTGTTGGTGGAATAGCGTAGCGAGCGCTGAAAGATCATGGACAAGCAAGGCGTTCCGCTAACTAAACTAAGCTTTTCTCACTAAAATGAGTTAAAATGTCATTCTTAAAGATAAATAGCCGATGTAAAACCGAAATTATAATAATAAGCTTCCTTTTAAAGCGTATTTTCTTAGACTTTATCAATCTTTCGGATTTGTCATCGATCCCAGGATGTCTATATATAATTCCACCAAAATCCCAAATTGAAATCCCCGCTGCCGAAAAGAAAATCCACCGAAGGGGAGCTTAGTAGCTACTTACAAGTATCCAAATAAACAAGCAGCCTTAGCCGCAACCACCGAATCAATTGTTTCGAGACCCCAAAAGGAAAATGAAAGAAGGCAGGGATATATACATATATCTGGTTCAGGGGAACCCCCTTGCCATTTTGGGCTATAAATCTAAGCGTCAAACAGAAGCGCGACGGAATAATCAGAAATCAATACAATCTGCGTAATATGTTTTATGCGCCCTTTGGCTTTGGCTTGGGCTTGGGCTTGGGCCTGGGCTTCTTTGCCATTTTTCCAAGCAATTGAGTTTGATGATGCCGCAGCTCCACCAAAACCCTCTAAAAGAAAGCCCCCAGCACAGAGCCCCCTCCTCCAAGCTGATTAAGCCACAGCCTGAGGGCCATGACGTGACTTTTGGCTTTTCTTTTTCGATAATCAAAAATCACGCACACAATGGATCCTGTAATAGTTGAATTGAATTGCCCAAAGGAGCGGAGGGTGTTTTCAGTGCCCCCCCACCTCGGCTTTATTGGCCTCATTGAGAGGCCAAGCTACACCCACTTGCTTGGCTCTATGACATGCTTTGACATCGCAGAACTCATCCCTGATCCCACAGAGCACAGAGCACAGAGCACAGAGCCCAGAGCCCGACAAAACCCCCATCCAACCCCTAGGAACATGGCATCATTACACGGCCGCGTCGCACGCAAAATTGTGCGAAATTTGGTGAGCCGCGTGTGGCAAGTCGTGTGGCGGATTCAATTCGCAAACTTTTCAGCCCCCACAAAACGAACACACACGAGATACGCTTCGAAATGAAGCCAACCCCCTTGGTCTGAATAACCTACCGAAACAGCCAGACACCCAACTACCCAACCACCCATTTCCACCCACCTTGTACACTTTGAAGTCCTGAGGAGAAGGACGCTTAAATAGCGATTGCCGAACAGAAGCAGATGGTAAGTGGAAATTTTCAAGGGAAACTGAACTTCACTTCGTTGACAAAATGCATAACTTATAACCATCCAGAATGTATTTCCACAGCTTTAAATTCAAACGAGGCACATTTTCCGGTGCATTAGCCTTCTGTGCCGAATATTTTCAGTTTCAAATTAGAAATAAAATTTTAAAATT